TTGGGTTCAGGGTTTTGCGGTTTAGGCCCTTCCAGAAGGATTTCAAGTGCTAACTCGTGCGAAGAAGTCTGACACCTCTGCCCAAAGACATCACGTTCAGGGCTTGTCTACTGCGCTGCTACGACTTCTACGACGACGACTGTTTGGTTTTCTTTGAAAAGCTTATGGCTTGCCGATGCGGAAAGCTTGGCATGTTCCTGGGCTACCGGCTGTCCAGAGTGCCCCCATCGATAGCAAGGTTAAGGCACAATACGGCAGCAAAAAAAGGAGGGCCGTCACACCCTGGGTTTACGATTGGGGTTCTAGGGCTTACAGGGTTTATAAGCCTGGTACGCTTGAGGTTATATAGGCTATAGCCCTTAACGAGGGTGGAGTCTGTTGCTACCCTATTGATCCCCGACAACTAGAGGTGTGAAAACTGCAACACCCCATAACCGCTGGATTTAGGGGGTGCAGGGTGTAAGATTAATGGTTCGGCGGTTTAACGGTCCAACGGTTTAACGCTTTCGGTGCTAGATGCCGGCAAGCTCAAACAAACCTCAAAAGCCAGACCGGAACCTGGCCTAAAGCCCTAGGCCTTCTGGCCCGATTCAATAGTGCAACACATTAGGTATGCATATGCTTGTTCATGCGTCTACATGTATATGCATACGTATATACACATATGCATGTGTATATATATATGTATGTATGTATGTGTATATATAGATGTATGTATGTGTATATATATATATATATACACACTTGTACATACGTATATACATGTATACAGTATACATATATCTATATACATACACACACACAGCCCTCTATTTACTAGGTTATCATGTATGGTTGCTTATGCATTGCCTATGTGCTTGTTATATATATATATATATACACACGCATACGAACATGCATACAAGTAGGGAGAACGCGAGGCCTGAATGTTTGGAATAGGGCTTTGGGGATATTGGAGCATGTAAGGCGATTCTCTAAGGGTGCAAGTGCTCCCTATTCTGGGATTTTGAGGCTTTCAGGTACCAGAAACCATCAACAAAGACTTCTTGGACCCTTACGGAAGAGTGATTCGAAGCTTAGATCAACTGGTCTTAAGGTTGAACCTGGCTTCACCGAAACTGAGGCGCAGGCGCAGGGGCATATCTTAGTAATTACTGGCGTCAAGTTGTGGGCGTGATTACTGCTCCCGGTTTAGGATCGGGCTTTCGCGCTGGTGTGCAAGAGTATCGTCTCAGGCTACTATAGGGGCCTTGAGAGTTAGAATGGGGTCAGTCTTTGTTCTGGGCTCCTTTAGCTGTATAGTACAAGTACAATGGGAAACCCTAAATAATAATGATGGGAATTGTTTAGGCTTATCCCTGGGCATCAAAACAGCCCAAAAGCCTTACATAATATGGTCTTTGGGCCCAAAAGCCTTAATATGTGAGTCCTTAGATGCCTGTAGGGTATATCTATGAGAGATGATGGACGGCCCGTCCGCGGCAGTGATGTCATGCGGCAAGACACCCATGGCGCGAGGACCCGCACGCGCTCCCTGATTCCTACACAAGGATCCTATAGAAACCCTAAACTCCTTGAAAAGGATTCTATATAAATCCTGAACCCTAAACTCCTGTCTAAACCCTAAACTCCTTGAAAAGGACTCTATATAAACCCTGAACCCTTAACTCCTTTATAAGGGATCCTGTCTAAACCCTAAACCCTAAACCCCTTGAAAGGGTTTCTACATAAATCCTGAACCCTAGACCCCTTGAAAGGGACCCTATATAAACCCTGAACCCTAAACTCCTTTAAAAGGATCCTATCTACACCCTAAGCCCTACACCCCTTTCTGAAGGATCCTTTATAAGCCCTAAACCCTACATTCCTTGAAAGGGACAGTGGGTCTGACTCGGCCCTGGCAGCCGCAAGTTCGAAGCTCCGCTTGTCGGAAAGCGCTGGCAAGGGTGCTAACCGAGGGGACAGGGCGAAGCCCTCCCGCTTTTAATGTAGGTTTAAGGTTCTAAGATGAACATTCAAAACAGGCTTTGGGGGTATATTGTGCTACTAAAGGCCCCTACATTATACCAAATACGTCTAAGTACGTTAAACAGACGATTGAATGTATTGCAATCTTAAGCTATCTATCTGTCTGTGCGACTACGGGTTGCTAGTACATGTGGGGCGGGGGGGGGGGAGGGCGGGGTCCTTCCTTACAGAGCCAATCCTAAACCCTAAACTGTGCCCTAAATCCTACCCTATGTCGAAGCGCTTACTGTTACAGTAGTCGACCCTTTACCCCGCCCTTGCCATGGAGGGCCTGTGGCACATAGCAACTTGGAGATGGGAGCATTGTTATCTTGCTGCGATAGTTCCGTCTGGGGTCTGGGCTTACCCAGAGGCACCAAAGTAGTTCCTGTTGGGGATTACCCTATAGGATTCTATATATGAACCCCCAAAAGGAACTACTTTGGGGCCTTTGGGTAGGGCTCAAGGCCTGCAGCTTGAGTTTCAGATCTCTAGAACGTCTAGAACCTAGGATACAGTGCCTGAAGGCGGCAAGCCCTTCACCCTCTGCCGTCTCCTATGATCCTTTACTTAGCCGCCCTTGGAATCAAAATAACAAAAAAACAGTATTCCTAGTAGTCCAGATAACAAAATAGAAAGAGTAGTCTTAGTAGTCCCCTGGAGTTAACAGGACGCCTAAGAGCAGTGTAGTCCTAGATGGGGCCCTTCACATTAGAACCGGCCTCGGGGGTTCCCTAACACCAACATCGCACAATTACGAATTATCAAAACCACGTCGTAATTCAAGGGGGGTGAACTTGATTCTTAAGTATGAGGAGTCGATCTTGCTGATTGGGTAGGGCCTTGGTCGAACCTCTGGCCTCTGCCGTCCTAAACGCCTAGATATTCAGGCTTGGCACGCCTTCAAAATCAGACGCTCAATGCCGAACGCCGCTTTCTTCAGAATCCCTACTACAACCAAGTCTATGTGAGATGGGTTTGCTTATCAGGGGTCTACACCAAGTGAAAAACAATTACCAAACCCCATGCACATAGGCAGTTCTCTAAATTAAGGTCCTTTTCTACATCCCCAAAATTTGACCATACCCTTATGAAAGGGACCCGAGTTTAGACAACTACGCATATGAAAATGGACAATCTGGAACCTGAAATCTGACCCTGCTATAACCCCTTAGACCCACAACAAGCCCATCGATCTGAAGAATATAGGGGCCTTAATAATTGGAACAGGGTTTTGGGGTTTAGTCTACTATAACTACATTATAAGGGGAGCCCCCAACATAGTGTAGGAGATTATTAAGGCCCCGATAGTCATCCCGTTACTAAAGAAATGGAAAGAGGACATCTGCTGAAGAGCCAAGCCTAAACCGCGTGAGCAAATCTTCAGAGTCAGAATCCAACATAACACCACAGCTGGCTTTCCCAGTGAGATTTGTGAGATTAAGAGACAGTTCCTTGAAGAATCTTCGCAGCATCGGTTTACATAAGGAATTGTTTGGGGGTTTCGGGTGTTGGCTTTAGTTTAAGCCCTCCAGCATTTCTCGGCTTACCTGGTTTAGCGCGTAGCTGCCGCCCAAAGACGAAGGCTTCTTGAGGATTCCTGCTTAGCTTCCACGGTAGACGCCTAAATCAAGGCTAGCACTAACCATGCTCACTCGGGCTGGGTGCTTCCAAAATGCTTGAGTCCTCGCTCGTTTGTCTGCGCCAGCTGCTTGTTTGCATCAGGCGTGCGGCGCAGGCGAGCGAGCACGCAGTTTTGTTCGAAGCACGCACCATGAGCGAGCATGCATTGGATTTTTTCTGGAATCTACCCTGGGGCTCCTTAGTAGTTCCTTTTGGAGATGATTAATTACCTTATAGGATTCTATATATGAACCCCAAAAAGGAACTACTAAGGAGCCCTAGGGTACCCCCAAACCCTATAAACACCTCTACGGCGAGTCTGAGGCCTCCAAAACGATTTGAGGCCATCCAGACAGAGCTAAAACATGGACTACGAAGGGCCAAAATATTTATGCTTGTGGCTTTACGGCTTACATAGGGTGATATATATACATATATATATATATATATATATACATATATATATATATATATATACTTGTTTGTATATTTATTTATAGAGCTTTCTCCAGCTAGGTGGTAGGCCTAAGGTTAAGAGCATCGATTCGTCAATGCCACAGTGCCGACATTGGAAGCACGAAGGATTCCGGTCTTGAAATCACTGCATGTGCGTGGTTTTGGGTCTCGGTTAGAAGGGGCCCCCACCCTGTAATAGCGGTATAATAGGAATATAATAGGGCCCTAATATAATCCTTATAGTCACTATTACAGGGTGAGGGCAGCTTCTAAGGTCTCGGCATTTAGGGTCTGGGGCTGCAGGGTTTCGGATCTTTGATTTCCCAAGGAACTTCCCTTGCGTCGGGCGATGTTGTGACCGATCGTATAAGACACATCGCACGGTTTCACGAGGCATTGACCTCGAAGACTGAGCATACGTCCAAGACGGGGATGGCCTCCCCACATTAAAAAAAAAACGATATCGGAGGATATAACACTTATATGTTACCCCGCCTAAACCCTAAACCGAGCGTTATTGGGCTTAGGCAGCTCTAGCCGAGGCCTAATTCCGGGATGCAGGAATGGCAGCCGCTTGGACGATGCAGCAACTGTAGTCAACAGCAGCGATTTGGGGCAATCTTGAGAAAGGAACCTTGCCGAACCGGAATGCCACAGAGAATACTAAATTACTAAAGGTACTCCCCTGAACTGCCGCAGTCGCCTTCAAAAATCACCATTACGAAGATCGTAATAATCGCAAGGCTCCCCCCTCCAAAGATTCCCAAATTGCCACCCCTTCGCAATCCTTGGCCATCCGTGTTTTGCCGTGATCAACGGGCGGGAGGCCATTGAAATGAAGGGACCCACAGGAAGCTTCACAAAAAGAAGGCCTGGTCGCATAAGGGTCCCTTCTGTTTCCGATCTTTGCAGCATTATAGACTGAAGACCACGCCCGTGATGTCTCTGTTATCCGAGACGGCGAACGCGGAAGCGTCCTCTGGCGAGCTTGAAGTTCGACTCAGTTCACTTTAGGGAGTTTAGTTTGAATGAACCCACGTGTCAAGACTTGAAAGTAGTGCTTTCGGGAAAGCTTCCGGCCGAGGGCTAGGCTTCAAACCATGCAATAATCACAACAGCACCAATAACAACAATTGTAAACATGACAATCTTAATGGCAATCATGAGCATACGAGTAGCGAAAAGTTTCAACAATAACAACAATCGAAATCGGTAATGATCATGATAACAGCAATGAAGAGCTGTGTGTGTCGGGCTTGGGACGGGGCCTGTTGAAGTCTGGAGGCCTTTGGGCCTTTCATGCAATCGAATCGGGTGTTTAGGCGTTTTCGGATTTTGTGATGTAACAGGAAGCAATTTGGCTTTTGGTATGTTGTTAAACCCTAAACCCTAAACCCTGTTGTTAAGTTGTTTTTTGTTGGTGCCTTATTGCCTCGATGATGGAAACTGCAGGAGTCATGGAGATGGGGGCCTCTTTCCTAGCTGGAGCTGTTCCCAGAGAGCCCAAAACCCCTTAACTAAGAAATATAGCTTAAATCATAATATGAACCCCTATATAAGTTAGGCCTTATTCCTTAATTAAGGGGTATTGGGCTCTCTGGGTTTGCTTCAGCTTGACCGATCAAATAGATCTTGCCCCATTCAGGGCCATTCAACGGGATGAGAGTTTTGCCGAGCTGAAACCGCAACCACCGGCGAAACGAAACAACAGCTACAGGGACGAAGCTAATTACTTCCGACACATCGAGTTGGACCACCATACGGACCTGACGACAGTCACAGGCACAGGGTACAGTTTTCGCTGGAAAAAGAAACATGCATGCACAACAGTGACAGGGATGGGGCCGTTCGGCTGTGGCGCACCTTTTCTTGGATGGAAAGACAAACCAAGATAGCTGAACAAACCCTACATGTTTTGGGGCTAAGCTTCGAAGCTCCAGCAGTGGCTCGATCCAAACAATATGGACAAGGAGGAACGTCGCAAAACCAACAAAACATCAACAAAAGGCTGCGAAATTCATCTGCTTGTCGTTTAGGAGGAAGTGACTTTTGGTTGGGCGGTCCTGCGGGGTGTCGCGGCAAGCTCTGGGGGAATTGGATTTTGTGATCCTGTTTCGAGCTCACGCGCGACTTCCGCAGTACCCTATACACCAGTTGCTCTCCTGCTTCGTTGCAAGAGTCTCGGGAATGCCAATTCGCTGCAGACTCTTGAGGGCATCGCAACTGTACGGCCAAAGGATGGTCCAAGCCTGCCCTCTCATCAGGCGATGGCGGTTGATCCAACCCGGGCCCCTCATGAGGAGATGGTTCATCACACATGTTCAGCCCGCCCCGTCGTTCGGCAATGACGCTTGATCAAGTTCTTAAGCCCGCCTCCTGCTGAGCTAGGCGGTTGATGTGACATTTCTCCACCTCACCCCCTCATGAGGCGATGCTGTTTCATCATATTCTTTCATTCAATAGCGTGGGCTTTTAGGATTTTAGTGTATTATAAAGGGTAGTTGGGGGGGCTAAGGATACAACAACGGCATGAGGGCAACAGTGTCAAGCGGTGTGGAGACCGCGAAGAAATGCATCTATACCATTTCAATTCAGTCTGAGATAGAAAACAATAATGCCAATTCATACCAATTCAGTGCTCTTGCAGCACATTGAAAGCTCGGTCAATTCCCACACGAAGCCCTTAGACAGACCGAAAGCCCAAGTCTAACCTTTTCTGTATCCTTGAACCCTTCATGCTAATGCCTCAACTGACGAAGCGCTGTCCTGGAGGGTGCAAGTAAATACCTAAAAAGGATGGCTTTGCTACTCTACTCCGAGTGGGTTTCGGGAGATCCCTAAAACCTAAAGTTTAGGGTTTTAGGGTGTTGAACCAGAGACCGAACCCACCAATGCCGGCCTGGCCGGGTCCGGCATAAGGCGAGTACTGCCTGTTGCTTTCGCCCGGCGGCAGAAGCCTCTTTAGAGCTTAGCATATGGGTAGTTCTCTAAATTAGGGTACCTTCTGGGATCCTGTTTATAACGGTGCCGTACTATTTTGGGGACCTACAAAGGGACCTCGATTTAGAGAATTAGCCATATTGCTCTTTACCTAGTTTTAACCAATATACCTCAAAAAGAGGACATGACCTCAAGAAATAAGTACATCTCCTGTTTTTGAGGTACCTTGGTTACTCTAGTTACCCAGAGGGTCCATATACATTATCATCGTGGGATTAGGGCCACAAAATCATAATAGGGATGGTCTTTCGGTACCTAATTCCATCATGGTAGTGTACCTAGGACCCTGTGGATTACATCATGCGGAGATCATCATATAACTTATACTTACAAGTATGATTACCTTGATTGTGACCATTGTTGCTAAGTCCCATGAACCTTTATCAGGAGCCCCTGGGGCAGGAGAAGGAAGGTTCCAGACGCAGGTCTGGAGCTTTAGTCTTCTGAACGTCATAGGGTTTCGGGCCGTGTTTAGAACTGTCTTTGTGCAGCACCAGTTCAGCTGCGAGGGTTTATTTGTTCGTAGCAGAGAACTCTTCGGAGTTTGGGGTTTGGGATGCAAGAAGCAAGAGCTTTCGCATCGGCCCGGGGAGGCTCTTTCACAGACGGCCCCGATCGCGGAATCAGCTGCGGTGGACCAGACGATGTGATCGGAGGCGGACTGGCGACAGTACAGCCGTCGTACCAGCTCAGGCGATTCGCAATCGCCGTATTGCAGCCGCCCTTGTCCTGGCCCTTGGTTTTGTCCTCCTCGCCGGCATCCGGCTGGGCCTGAGCCTTCTCGGCGAGGTGGGCCAAGCACGGACCACCTTTCATCGTCCAAGTCCAGCCGGTTTGGGGACTCTCTTTGGGCTTAGGATCTAGAGTTTAGGATTTAGGGTTTGCAATGGAACACGGGCGTAAGCTTCGCGCTATGACTTAGTGCAGGTAGGCTGCCTGGAAACAGGCGAATCATACGTCGTGTGCAGGGCCATCCCCGTTGAATGAGAATCTTGTGGCGTGGCTGGCAGTGTCAGATGCTTTCATAGGAGTTCAGCTACCTTCGTAAACCCCTAAACCCCTAAAGCCCTCAACCTGAATATGAAGATTGTCAAAAGGAGCCCTAATGCTAAAAACCTCCGTTTCAGCCCTTGGGGCAAATCATCGAGGAATGTAAAAACCTGACGAGCAAAGGGGTCGGAATAAGAATCAGTAATATCATTCTCAGGTTCTCTTAATTCATGGTCAATAAGCATGTTCTTAGTAATCTAATCTTTACCTGAACGCCCTGACACATACTTTAACCTTATCATGAAGAAGACCCTATGAGAAGCAGCAAGGCCGCCACAATACATGAGCTCCAATGCATGCTGCGTAGCCAATGCATATAAATACTTCGCAAAAACATACACTGGGCATCAACATAGCCCAAAAGCCTTACATAATATGGTCTTTGGGCCCAAAAGCCTTAATATATGAGGGTCCGTACGTTGATGACATGAACCCTTCAGTAAGGCCAAAGCCATGGTAGGACACTCAGACCTAGTATTTAGGGATTGGGCTAGACCTAGGGAGTGAATCAGCTTACTCCACGAACCGAGTACCCCGAAGCGCCGAAAAACCAAGAAAAGAACTCCATGACCAAAGCCCTGAGCCGCAAGCTTCAACCCCGAAACCTAACCTCAAGCCCCCAAAATCCCCAAACCCCAGACCCGCGACGTAAAAACCTAAAATCCTAAACCATAAAAACCTGAAATCCCTCCTAGATCTCGTAAGGGTCCCTTGTAAATAAATTCAAGCTCCCCAAACTCGACATCCTGAACCCTAGACCCAAAACCCCCAAGCCATACACCGTCCCTCGCAGATCCCTTTAAGTGCGGAAGGAGGCCTCCAGTTCCAACCATTGCCCTTAGAGGCTTCGAATGTTAGCTGTCGTCAGTATGATTCTCTGATATTCATCATATTTTGATCATCATCCTTGTTGTTTTCCTAGTGTCGTATTTCTACTATTGTGACTATTGTGAATAATAGTCTGCTTGTTCTTCTTCTTCTCCTCACAATTGTTTCTCTTATTGTGGTTACTGTCATGTTGTTATTAACATTATCGCTGTCGTTTCGTTGTTGTTGCTGTTGCTGTTGGTGGTGAAGGTTTAGGGTTTACGGCCCAGAGGGTCAAGGTTGGTTTAGGGTTTTGAGGGTGCTGCGGCTTCGAAACAAACATCGTGCGCCCATCCTGTACCCCGGCGACAACATCCGACTAAATTCCTTGATGGTGACTACTTGGAGAACCACACGAACCACACAAGCCCCAAACCTCATCCCTAAAGCAACCCGAGCGCTTAACCATCCTAAGCCCTTTTGCTTAAGCCCATTTGCTTTAATCACCGTCTTCCGCACATCCTGCATAAGGCTAACTTGTCGGAGCCTCTATCGCAGAAAGGAGCCCTAGTCCCTAAATACCACAACAACTATCACCAGCGCTGACCTACCAAAACTGCTCTCCTAGACCCAAAAGTGCCTATAGTACCCAGACCTTCCAAAATCCCTTAATTAAGGAATATAACTTAAACTATAATAGGATCCCTAATATGATTTAAGGTATATTCCTTAATTAAGGGATTTTGGAATGTCTGGGTAGTACTGGTACGGTTGATGATATAAATCCTGCATTACCCATAGTCACGAATATACCATAATTCCCATAGTTTAGGGTCCTTAAGGTAGTGCAGGATTTATATCATCAACAGTAGTGGTAGGTCCTTTGGACCCTTTCGGTATGGCTTGAGGGGCTCAGGGGCTCGGTGGTCCCTTACCCAAAGGGTCCTATGTACTGCTATGGGGGATACTTCCCTATTCTAGTATCTTATAACATATTATAGTATGTTATAGTATATTACAGTGTATTATAGTATATTATAGCATATTATAGTATATTATAGTGGATCATAATACAGCAAAGCCGCTGTGTTCCCAGCCAGCCCTGTAGCCGTGTTTGATGGAAGCTGCCAGTGCTGGTCCTCACGAGATGTCGGGAGCCGAAATCAGAACCCTAAACCCTAAACAGCTAGCGTTTTATGGGGTTGAGGGTTTAGGGTTTAGGTTTATTTTTCTAAGTGCGATGGCTTCTTTCTCTGGGTTTAGGGTTTGGGGTTCAAGGGTACTTTAAAGGGTTCTATAAGGACCTTTTTGAGGGTTACTCTGAGAATTATTCGTAAAGGCAAGCAGTGCATGATGCCCTCAGGTCTAGTGTTTCAGATCTTGGATAGGGGATTTCGGAGAGATTTCGAGGTATGGTACAGGGCTGCATAGTGTAGCAGTGTAGCACAACAAGAAAGGATACTCGGATATCGCATAACCTGAGCCATTCCCCTACGGGTCCAAAGGAAGCAATAGTTAGGTACTTGGGTTTAGCATAGTAGTTATGCAAGTTACTTTTGGGGAGAGTGTCTGATTTTTAGGTACTTGGACCCTTAGGGTTCATGATATTTACTCCCTACACCCTAAACTCTAAACCCCTTCAAGAGAAAGTCGGGCTCGGTACAGCAGAGGGGGACCCACTCGGCCCTGAATACTCGACGTTTCCCACAAAAGCCTTGTAATGCTGTAACCGGACACCGACCTCCTCAAGCTCATTTTTGTTTGGTGAGCTCGTTTTTTTTCTCCCAAAGGCTGCAATCCGCGACTTCTAGATGACAGGTTTAGGGTTTAGGGCTATTATCCGAATAGGAGTTGGGGTTTAAGTTGTAGGATTCGAAAGGGAAGCTCGACACACACCCTTGGCGGATACATAGAATATAGAAGCCTCGATAATTAGACTGCGGTGTTATTGGCTTTTGGTGCTTTATGGTTTTAACAGAACCGAAAGGATAGCTGTCCAAGCCTGGTCATCACTGGATCCCCCATATCCGTCCAAACTCAATAACACCCTGTTTCTTATGGTCTTTCTACATGTTTCCCAGGTTTGAGAAGCCTATGTGATGTTTAAAACTCCCTAGATTAGCACTGGAGCGGAGGCCTCTGGGGCTGCAGAAGCCGACGGCCTCCATATGAAGCCTTGGGCCCTGCGCGTGCCTCAGAAGCCGGGGATTCAACTTCGGGTTCCGGTGTAGGGTTTAGGGTTTTTAACCCTAACCCTGTCTGTAAAAATGGAAATTGCAACAAACCCTATACCATGAAACAAAAAACTCTACACCCTCAACCCTGCTAAAAACGTACCAAACCATGAACCTAGAGTCAAAAGCCCTCAACCCCGAGACCTGAACCCCCAAGCCCCACGCCCTAAACCCCAAACTGCCCTAAACCCTGATATCTAGATCTTTGTAAGGATCCCTTAAAGATCCCTGTTAAGCAACCCTTCAAGGAACCCTTTAAGGAATTCTTTGAGGATCTCTTACAGGATCCCTTTAAGGATTCCTGTAACGAACCCCAAAACACCCAGCCCTTCAAGGATCCCTTTCGGGAATCCTTTCAGGAACCCTATAAGCCCATCTCTCTAAGGATCCCTTAAAGATCCCTTTAAGGAGTCCTTTAAGGAACTCTTTGAGAAACCCTATAAACCCCTAAACCCTAAACCCCTCACCCTAAAACCCCAAACCCCTAACCCTAAAACCCAAACCCCTAAAACCCAAACTCCTAAACCCTAAAACCCTAAACCCCAAACCCTAAAACCCAATTCCTAAACCCCAAACCCTAAAACCCAAACCCCTAACCCTAAAACCCAAACCCCTAAAACCCAAACCCCTAAACCCTAAAACCCTAAAACCCCAAACCCTAAAACCCAGTTCCTAAACCCCAAACCCTAAAACCCAATTGCTAAACCCCAAACCCTAAAACCCAGCGGACGAGCCGGGAGGCAGCCATTTCGGCTCTGCACGGGTCTCTCCGCGGCGACAAGGTCGGCTGCCTCCCGGAGCAGACCTCGGCTTGAAGCGGCCACCCGCCGGTTTACGGCCCAGACCTTCCCAAATCCCTTAATTAAGGAATATACCTTAAAAATAATAGGATCCCTAATATGATTTAAGGTATATTCCTTAATTAAAGGATTTTGGAAGGTCTGGGGGCTTCGGGTTTAGGGGCCCCCACAAAGGGGGTTCGGGGTTTAGGGCTTAGGGGATCGGGGTTTAAATCTTCAGAAACACGGCACCCGAAAAAAAAAGGGGGTTCGTGTTGGAAGTCCATCGATTTACAGGTGCCATTCTTGCCTCTGTGGATAAAGGATGCGGGAAACTAAACTCAGATTTGCCCCATGCCCAATAAGCAATACGGGTGCCGGGTCAGATTGCCTATGCCGAATACGAGTTTAAAGCTCAAAGATGTAGGAAAGAGAGGTTTAGGGTTCAGGGTCTAGGAGCCCTAACCCTAAACCCCTAAGCCCTAAAAGCCCTAAACCCTAACCCCTAAACCCCTAAACCCAGACCCTCGAAATCCTAAAAGCCCTGAACGTGTTTCATAAAACATCCGTTAAGGAGAGTCTATCCTTTGACGGATCGATACGAGATCGATTCCTCCGAGGGTTCCTTTAAAGGGTCGTATCAGGGTTCCTACTATAGGCTTTGCAGAGTTACTGTTATGTAGGTCTACGGCTCGGCTGTGCGGCCTACAGCTCACTCTTGGAGGGTTTCGGGGGTTAACTAACCGGTGATTTTTGGGGGTTCCCTCGGCTCTTTCGCTCCTTATCTAGTGGGGATTATCATCATCCCTGGCTCCTTAGCTCCCCCAATATCAATGGTTGGTTAAGCTTCAAGTTTTTTCTTGAAAGTGTAGGGCTTGTGTTCTGTTCTGTGGGTTGAAAGATTTGCTGTTTGCTGCTGAAGTCTTCGGGGGTTTGGCCTGACGAACTGATGCCCTAGGGTGCAGAGGGAATTGGATCATTTCCCTAAACCCTAAGCCCTAAACCCTAGGCGTTAAATGGAGAGTTCGGGGTTCGGCTTCGCCGTCCTGCGATACTGGCTTTAGGCATGGGTTCTGCGAGCAACGGAACACTCCATACCGTACTCTATAAGACTCCATAATAACCCGAAGCCCGAAAGCCCTTAACCGTAAAAAACCTCAAGCCCCTTCAGAGTCCCTAAGGCCAAGCACAGGGACGGAGGGTCCTCGGACAAATCCCACGGAAGCCCCTGTAAAGCTGCCATGAAGCTAGGAGAGACTGTACGGCGTACGAAAGCCTCGGTACGGCCAAGCCACACAATCAAAAATGCCGGGAGCCTGCAGGTCTCGTACCCATGTTTGTAACTTCTAAGGACTCAGGTTTTATGGGTATTTGTAATGCGCAAGGACCTCTATGGTTTGAGACTGGGCCAAAGGGGTTTGCGCGCGGCTGCCGTAGTGCAAAAGGATACCGCATGACGCTACACTTGCACGTCTATCTGTAGGGGAGTCGGCTGCATGCTAGTATCAGGCTTCTGTGACTGGGCTTCGAAGTTGCGATCAAGAAAAAAGTCCAAAGTTTCAGTTCGCAAAGGTTCCTGGAACAAGTAAAACAAAACCCTAAACCCTAAACCCTAAACCCCAACCCCTAAACCCTAAACCCCTAAACCCTAAACCCTAAACCCTAAACCCCTAAACCCTAAACCCATGGTGCTCCGGAACCCAGGTGATGGCATTGCTTATTATAGTAGCCCATGAAAGTAGACTAGGAGCTCGACGATCTTGCTTGGAGAATTCTGGACTTCGACTAGCACGGCGTCGGTATCCAGATCTTAAAGATCACTTTAAGATACTAGCGCCTGTAGGACCCTGAAGATAGTATAGCCGCTTATAAGGTTTAGACTTTAGGGAACCCTTAAAATTCATATAACCCTGAAATCATAAAATCTTATGTCAACCGGGCTAAGGCCAGGGCGAACAACAACACGAAAACGTTAACCACGAGCCCTAGGGGCCTCAATAATAAGAAAAAGGTTCTGGGGTATATGATGCTGTAGTTGCACTAGGGAACCCCCAAATAGTATATAGGTAATTGTTGTTAAGGCACCTGTATAATTAGATACATGAGCTGTGGTGCAGACCCCGAAACAATGACGAATGTCTTCTACTCTCCAGTCTTTTTCTGTTGGGGGTTCAGGCTGTCTGCCACTGAGTGGCAACAGAGCACGTGTGTCGATCTTTGGGTGGTTGCGTGTACATCTGTGCGTGTGGCTATAACTGAGCGGCTCTTTGCCGAATGAACCTATGCCGGACTCTGGTTGCCAGGCACACTTCCCTCAAGTGTCCCGACTGCCTGTTGGGTCCTCCCAAAATTCAACATATTAGCTACTGGCTCATGCTTCACATTTCATCAACGGTCCGACTGTCCACACACATTTACTGTCTGTCGTTTGCCCCTGTGGGTCTGTAGCCTTCCACAGTTTCGGCATGCGTACCACTCAGTGCCTCATCCCAATCTCAATTTCTCTGGCAGCGAAGAGAAGGGAAGACGTGGCAAGGGGATTGGACATGTGTAGAGATTACTTTCGTAACTTTGGAGCATATGTTGCACGTCAGCAACCTTGCATTCAATGATTTCCATACTTTCTCTCCTACAATCAACCGTGAAATCCCGAAATAAGCAGCCCTTTCCTCAAGACCCTGGAGTGACACCCATCTGATCCAAGCTACCACATTCTAGACCCCCCCAAACACCCTAAACCCTAAACCCCAAACCGCAGACAAGGGGCCAACCGGTCAGCTACCGCACTGCCGTTAGCGAAGACTAGTGGTGCATGGGGTTTGGCAAGAGCTGTAGTGCCAAACCGGGCAATGAAGTAAGCCTCGGCTATAGAAACTCGCGGGCTTTTTAGGGCACAGGGGCCATTTCGAGTCTTGAGTATTTGGGTTTTGGGATTTATACTGGAGTATAGGGCTTGGGAGGTAGGGTTGAGAGCTTAGGGTTGGCAGCGAAGGTTGTATAGGGGTGTTACAGCTTGGGGATTCGAATTTGGGGTTTGTGCGAGCCGCTCCAATACTTCTTGGGGAGCTCCGTTGTTGACCCTGGGTCCAAAGCACATGTTGCGTATGGGAGACTTTTGGGGGAACACATGATGACCGGGCCCGAGGTTCTTTGGCCAAGAACCACGTTCAAAGTCCATAAGTTCTGATCTGAATTCGGAAAATAGAACAACCGAACGAAACCCGGCCCATACGGAGCATCAAAGTAGTCGAATCGAATGTCCCAAGCACGTAACCCAAACCTTGGTTCCCCACATGCTCCCATATCCATACCCCACGGATTGGCGATCATGCGAATGGATTCCAATGCAATCTGGTAATAATCCGAACACCCCACTTGACGCATCTACCTGCTCTTTGGAGCTGTCAATCTTCAGTCCTGTTTCACCGACGCAAAAGTCTAAAGCAAAACCAAACTCGAAAGCCGTACAAACTAGGTTGCTCGGTAGCCTACTGGGAAGAAGTAGATGCCCTTTGGTGTTGGTCATACCTCAAGAGGAACCCAGAAAAGGAAAGGTGGTAAACACACACATATCGCTGAGCAGCCTAGTATACAAAGCCGTCGAAGCCACCCATCTGCCCTGAGCAAACCCTAGAAAAGGCCGAAAGACGAGATTAGCATCACGCCCCTGGACATTGGCAGGTCGCACCTGTCATGGCTACTGTATTACGTAGGGTTCAGGGTTTTGTACCGCAGTGGCTTGTCATAATCTTTGTGAGGAAGAGCTGAGGGAGGTGGAGCCTACACCCTAAACCCTAAGCCCCAGGTTGTGTGGTTGCCACAGGTGTGTTTTGCTGTTTGCTGTTGCTAGGATACCCAGTAACCTAAGAATAAAAAGGCCTCTCTTTTTGGTATTGGGTAACTTTATGAGGAACCTAGGACTACAAAAAGGGAATAAGGGTACTACTGGGCATCCAAGGTTGTGTGCTGGGAAGATGCTAAATACTGGACCTCGGGAGATGATGCAAACTCGGGGCCTTCATAGTTAGAAGAGGGTTCTATCATATTTAGTTATTTATAGGCCTTACTGAATTCGCGGACAAGGCGAAAACGGATTCGTGCACAAGGGGAAAACGTTTCGGGACAAGGCGAAACTCGAAACGAATTCGCCCTCAAGGGCTCTGTAACGGGCTACTATAGAAGTGAGCTAGAACTGAAAATCAGACAAGTTATAGTATACGTGTGATGCGGACTGTGAAGGATTACCATGCTGATTGTTCGAACCTTTCTGCCTTCTTGTCTTTGCTTAAGAGACACGGCGCATGTTTCTGTAGGTTTGAGAACTCCCAAAATAAGCTACTTACGGGTCAGGTTTGTATTGGGCGGCTTCGGGGCACCCAGGCAGCAGACTTGAGCGAACGAAGCCCGATTCAAGCCCTTCCCAGCCACAGAATTTTATGATCCTCATGAATTAACACAAAAGCACTTATTCATGTAGAGCTCTCTGTAATGTATACTTGGAATATTCAAGGGTCTTGGCAGGGCTACTATGAGGGTTGACAGGGGTAGGGGCCTGACTGTTTAGAATCGGGATTCTGGGTGCAACTATAGTCTAATAGTGCACTACAACAATAACAAGGAGCCCTACAGAAAAGTGCTGGTAACTCTTGAGGCCTCTTTATTGCATCTTGATATGGCCACGTCTGAGAATACCCTTAGGTAAGGTGTAGGATTTAGGGGTCTAGGTACCCTATACCCAGACCTTCCAAAATCCCTTAATTAAGGAATATACCTTAAACTATAATAGGATCCCTAATATGATTTAAGGTATATTCCTTAATTAAGGGATTTTGGAAGGGTGCCCTATACCCTGCGCCTCCACATTCCATTCCGGATCTGAACTGAGGAGTTGAGAGAGAGTGCTGGCGGATTGCCTGCCGGACGAGGCCCTAAAGGGAACTCCAGAAAGTTGGAATATGGTTTCAGGGTAGGATCCCCTATAATTTACCATAGAAGGGTTACGATAGAGGCTTTAAGGTAAAAGCCAGAAAGTTGGAATATGGTTTCAGGGTCGGATACCCTACAATGTACCATAAAGGGTTTAGGATAATCATATTCTTGGAATATGGTTTCAGGGTAGGATACCCTATAACTAGGATACCCAGTAACCTAAGAATAAAAAGGCCTCTCTTTTTGGTATTGGGTAACTTTATAAGGAACCTAGGACTACAAAAAGGGAATAAGGGTACTACTGGGCATCCTAGATAATGTACCATACAGGGTTTAGGATAATCATATTCCAACTTTCCGGCTTTTACTTTACAGCCAGCACACCCATCGCTTCAGGGCCCATTCAGGGCTCTTGGAGTTTAGGCAGGAGGGGTCTATGATGGGGTGATCTAGGCTTAGGGCTCTCATAACAAGTCTATGGAAAACAAAAGCAGGGGGGTTCTGGGATTAGGAAACCAAACGGTTTTTTTGGTATCCAGGGCTCATGGCATGGGCTAAAGATTCGAAGTTGAGGGCTTAGGGTGTGGAGAAAGGACTCGGATGAGGCATCTGAGTGTAAAGTTGGGGGAGTAGGAGATGCAAGCCTGAGAGGGGGCAGCGAACCAAAAGCCTACTACCCCAAACCCCAAACCCTAAACCAACAAAAAACCGGCCCTATTGAACCCTACACCCTCAACCCCTAAACCCCTAAACCCTAAACCCTTAAACCCTAAACCCTTGAACCCTAAACCCCTAAACCCTTAAACCCTACACCCTCAACCCCGACACCCCAAACAGAAAAAAGAGCCGGGCTCTGGTCCTAGCGTCCCGAGACACTGCAGCGGAAACCAGCCGAAGCCCAACGTCTTTAATCGCATGAACCCGAATGCCTACAAAACCCCAAACCCTAAATCGTGCACGCTAGACTATAGATCTTAATCCCCTAAACTCTTCAATCAAAGATCCTCAGGTTGCACAGCTATAAAACTTTAAGCTTCAACCTCACGTGGTTCGTCCTGCACTGGCGGGGTTTAGAGGCTCTCGACTGGCAGCCAACAGCGGACTAGAGTGGCGCCCCGAGGTCTTGGGCAGTTGTCGCTGAAGGGTAAGGCCTTAAGGGTCTAGAGGGCTTCATTAAACGCTATAAACCCTAGATGCCAAAGAGGTTAAGGGGTTCCATAGGGGTGCAAGCTTCACTACCGGTATCTACCGGTCTTATGTGATACGGATGATGATACAAATCCTGCATTGCCCATAATAAGACATATAGCATTGCTCCCATAGTTTAGGACCCTTACGGTATTGCAAGATTTATATCATCAACACTAGTTTCAAGGTCTCCGCAGCCCAAACAGTCGCTAGAGTTCTGCCCATGAAAGGTTAGCTCAGAAACGTAACCTTGAGGTCGAAACGAACTCTTATAAACCCTGAATCACAATTTTGAAAACCTGCAAAACCCTAAACGATCCTACATAGATATCTAAACCCTAAACCCGACCTAAACAATCCCAGAAGCCTAAGCCCCAACCTAAACAATCCTAGAAGCCTAAGCCTTAAACCCGAACTGAGCCTTGCTGTTTCAGGAGTTGTGAAATTGACCCAGGCGAGGGCGATGTGCACCTTCCTTCGCCTCGGCAAGGGTTTAGGGTTTAGGGTTAAGAGTTTTGGGTTTAGATTTTAGGGTTTAGGGTTTAGAGTTTAAGGTTTAGATCTCAGAGTTTGGGGTTTCGGGAGAGTTTAGGGTTTAAGGTTTAGGGTCTAGGGTGTTCGGCAAATTTTGGTCATAGAGCATGTAGGGGCTGCCTGTAGCCGAACAACCTCCCCCTTTTACGTTCCCTTTATCACGGCTTCTGAACGTAACTCCTTAAAGAAGTCATTACGGTTGTTCGGGCCAAAACAAGCGTAGGGATTTGGGGTATGTTGTAGTGTATGCACAAGGACCGCTAGCGACTCCGACAAATTACACCGGATGTCCTTGGACCGGCGCCAAACGATTGCGCGAAGGGACTTGGCACTCAACATCCTTCGGATTTTGTGCAACAGTCCTGAAAATGTTTTGAAATGGATGCCATCAGCAGAGCGGTGGTCAAGCTGCTCCCACACTTAAACCCCAAACCCCTAAACCCTGTCCCCCCAAACTCTCGAACCCGGTAAGAGAAATTCGTCACCGTCCAGGGTTGAAACCTAGTTCAGGTCTTGAGACCCGAGCCACAAACCTGCTATCTCACATCGAGGCTTCAAGTGCAGAGTCCCGAAGCCCGGACACAGAAAAACCCAACTAAGAACCCTAAAACCTACCCCTACAACACAGCCTGAGTTCTTTATAGGGTCCTATAACCCATTTTATGACTAGGTTCCCAAAATAAACCTTCAACCCAAAACCCTGCAAAACCCTTCAACCCCAAACCCTCACTCTTCAGGGTCGATATAGGTAAAGCCCGAACCATGAGCCCGCCTGTCGAAGGGCACATAGACAAGATCGTAGAGTCGCGGAGCCACCTGGGCGTTGCAGGGTTAAGGGTTCAGGGGTTTAGGTTTTTTTGAACGCCTTTTCGCGACTGCTAGAAGAGTCTTCTATCTGCGCAATCCGTCGGGTTTGGGGGTTTAGGGTTTAGGATCCTTACAGAAGGAAGCATATGACCTCGACTCGTGGCCCCCCCCACTTCCCCTCAGAAGCTGCAAGCTTTTTCAGGGTTCGCTACAATCCCGCCCTGCGCCATCCCCCCTTCAAGGGCCCTGTAAAGAAACGCAGGAGCCCCATCATCGACCCCCAAAACCGAAACTATGTAAGGAATCCCCTACAAGAACCAGGCAAGCATATATTGCAGACCCTTCTTACACCGACGCCCTATAAACCACGCTAAGATACACCCTTGCAGATACAACCCTGACATAAAGAAACCCACCGAACTATTATAAAACCATGACCTAAACTAAAGAACCCATAGAGCTACTATGAAAATCGGAGGCTTGGCCATAGGAAGCTCCCAGCCGCCCAGCCTTCCCACAGACCCTATGAACCCTAAACCCCACACCCGCAACCCTAAATTCCCAACCCTAAACCTGAACCCTAAAGTAAAAAGCGACACTCCAATACCCCTAGACCACCAGAGTTTTACCTTTATATCTTGAAAGCAACAATCCAAGACCCAACTGGACCTTAAACCCTAAAACAACACTTCTCCCCAAACACCCTGAAACCGGGCCCGAAACCCGAAGCCCTGAACCCGAAGCCCCAAACCCCTAAGCCCTAAACCCTGAACCCTAAACACGAAACTCTGAGTCCGAAACCCTAAACCCTGAACTCTAACCTCCAAATCCTGAGCTCTAAAGCCCCAAACCCTAAACCTTCAACCACCCTGAAGGCCGGGTGCCCCCCACTTGCCCAAGGATCCCTTTCAAGGAACCCTTCATAACCCCCTTATCCCCCTACAGTGGAAGCCCAAAAGTTGGAAACCCAATAGCCTCGATCCTTAGGAGCAATTTATAGGGAATCCCAGCACTATTTGGCCGTACTGTCCTAAACCCTCAACCCCAAAATCCTAGTAGGGTTCTCTCTTCCACCCTAAGGTTATGGTATCTTAATCCTTAAACCCTAAACCCTTAAAGGAGCCCTTAGAAGGCCGGGTGCCCCCGTCCCCCCCCCCACCTGGTCAAGGATCTCTAAAAGCGCCTGCGTGCCCAAATCGAGCGGGAGGCGACGCAGCATAACCTGCCAAAGGGGTTTAGGGTTTTAGATTTTTTGAGTTCCTTTCAAGGGATCCGATTAGGGTTCCTTTCAGGGATCTATAATAATAAGGGCTTAGGGTTTAGGGTTTAACCTGCCAAAGTTCTTTTTGTTAACGCCACTTTTTCCCTACTGCCAAAGGGGTTTAGGGGTTTCAGTTTTTTTTTACAAAGGGGTTTAGGTTTTAAGTTTTTTTCCAAAGGGGCTTAGGGGTTAGGGTTCTTTTGCAAAGGGGTTAGGCCTTAAAGGGGTTTAGGGTTTAGGTTCTTTTGCAAAGGGGTTAGGGGTTCCTGAAAGGGGTCTATTATAAGAAGGGCTTAGGGGTTCCTTGAAGGGGTCTATGATAATAAGGGCTTAGGGGTTCCTTAAAGGGGTCTATTATAAGAAGGGCTTAGGGGTTCCTTGAAGGGGTCTATGATAATAAGGGCTTAGGGGTTCCTTAAAGGGGTCTATGATAATAAGGGCTTAGGGGTTCCCTACAGGGGTCTATGATAATAAGGCCTTAGGGGTTATGGGATTTCCTTTAAAGGGGTTTGGGGGCTAGGGCCAAAAAGTTTTGCTTTCCAAGCAGAGCTTTGGTTAAGGGGCTTTAGGGTTCCTTTAACGGGTGCTATAAGGGTTCCTTTCAAGGGATCCGATTAGGGTTCCTTTAGGGATCTATAACAATAAGGGCTTAGGGTTTAGGGTTTAGGGGTGTGCTGGGAAGTTTGAAGCTTCAGGGTTTAAAACTTAGGATTGGGCGGTTTTAGGGCTGAGGGTGTAGGGGTTTGAGGGTTTAGGTTTCCTTTGAAGGGTACTAGAGGGTTCTATGCCAGATCTCCGCTTTTAGGGTTTAGGGGTTTAGGCTTTATTTAAGGTTTTCGGGGGTTTAGGGATCCTATGAGGGATCCTTAAAGTTTAGCCTTAACGGATTCCTCCAACGATTCCTGAAAGGGATCGATCCAATAAGGGATCCCCCGGCTGCAAAGCTTGCTTGCGGGTGTTCGGGCAAAGTTTCGGAACCCTAAACCCTCAACCTCAAACCCGATAAACCCTGAACCCTAAACCCCACACCGTGTAGGGTTTTCGCGCTCCTTCAAGGAACCTGCCAAGGGTTTAGGGGTTAGAGTGTGGGATCGGCTCTTTTTCGACTGAGAGGTTGTATAAAGGTTTGATTAGGTCATAAGCTTTTGACGTGTTTACACATGCCTTATAGGGCTTCTATAGGAGTTTAGGGCTTGTTGCTTGCTTCATGCGGATATATGTACGAGTTTGTACAAAGGAATGAGGGGTGTCGGAGTTGTTTACCCGGGGCCTGGCTCCTGCCTTCGTGCGATATTTAATTGCTCGCTTCACGTTATATTATATTGTTTACACGGGATCCGCTGGAAACCGTCACCCGCCGAGCCAGATAGCTCTAAATTTCTAAACATTGGCAACCTCTGAATCACGGCAGTACTTTGGAGAAAGCATGTTGGCCGTCCTCCTGAATCCCACCAGTATATGAGGGGAGGCATAAGGGCCGTTCTCCTGAATCCTGAATCCGCCAGTACTTCGGTCCTTTTGAATCCTGCCAGTGCTTGGGAGACACCTCTGGCCGTGCTCCTGAATGGTGCCAGTATAGGGGAGTTTCCGAGACTAGGGGACCCTAATATAGTACCCTAAATAATAGGATCCTTACTATAAGGACCCCAAGATAAGGTACCCCCAATTTTCGGAAACTCCCATATGACCCTCCCTCGTCCTGGTGGTCTCTTGGAGGCTAAAGGGCTCCATCGTCCTGGTCGAAGTGGTCGTCATGGTCGTCGTTCGCGCTGTGTGGGGTTCTGCGCCTACGCTGGCATCATGCGGCTTCTGTTCACGATCAGGCTTCTTGATAGTTTCGAGAAAAGGAGGACAGTTTGAACTCAAAGAAAGTGCAAACTCAACCCGAAGCACCCAACCCGAGCTCTGTTGCGAGAATGTAATAAACCAGTTCTGAACCTAGTATATACTCTTTTCAACCAACTCATAAAGAACTTTCCGCTAAACCCGAACCCAAACCCCAAACCCGAAACGCTGAACTCTGACCCTAAACCGCGAATCCTAAATATCCCCCCCAAACCCTATAACCCCAAACCCTAACGTGACTCTGGAGAATGCAGGATCCTGATTAAGAAACCTCGGGCCTATAACGTAGGATTCATTTCAGGAACCCTAGTAAAGGCCCTACCCAGAGGCCTCAGAGTAGCTCCTTTTTGGGATTACCTTATAGGATTTCTATATACGAACCCCGAAAAGGACCTACTTTGGGGCCTTAGGGTAGAAGAGAGAACCCTACATGAATTGTACAATTTTAGGGTTATGGGCCCAGGGTTTCTTAATCAGGTTCCTAGATTATTACAGTACCCTTATAGATCCCTTATAGACACCTTTAAAGGAACCCTTCGGCCCAGGGTTTCTTAATCAGGTTCCTACACCAAGTCCGAGCACGGGGCCGTTGTGTCCCCATCTTCGAAGGCTGGAATGTTTCTACCTGGGTTTAGGGCTTAGGGTTTAGGGTTTAGGGGTTCAGGGTTCAGGGTTTAGGGCTTAGGGGTTTAGGGTTTGGGGGTTTAGGGTTTAGAGGTTTAGGTCTTAGAGTCAAGAGTTTAACGGTGGGCCGGCCAGACATTTAGGGTTGGGAATGTTTCTAGTCTACTTGACTTTTGAAGTTTAGGGAAACCAGCCAAGATCCCTTAATTCAGGGATTTAGGATTTGGGGGTTTCGGGAGATCTTCCAACGTGCCTTGATTCAGGGATTGAGGATTCAGGGATTATACCTTGGTGGTCGGATCCCTAACGTGGTTACTGTACGGTTTGGGTTTTTGTTTGGTTGAGGCTGATAGGGTTTCAGGGTTCAGGGTTTTAGCACCTAGGATTCGGCGTCTTAGGGCTAGAGTGTATGCCTTCGGATTTGGGGGTTTATGCATTCGGTTTTTTCGGGCTCAAGGATTATGTGTTCCGATTTCAGGCTTCGGGTTTAGCGTTTAGTTTAATGACTTAGGCGCTTGAGGCCTACGCGAGCTTTTTCGAAGCCCTTGTATGAACCTTCACTGGGTTCTTGCTAAGGAGTTTACTATTTTAAGTTACCACAATAAGGAAACCACATTGTTTGCTAAAAAACCGTATTATGGCAACTTAAACTAAAAGTCCTTAACCTAGGTTGGCCCTTTAAAGCATCTGAAAAATATTCGTAACTGGGGTCCTATTAAGCCCAATAAGGGACAAAATGAAATATCCCAAAGGCCTACCTAGTAACAAGAACCCAGCAAAACTGTGGACATGGGGACGGACTCTAAAGACCTCTGTCTGACTCTCTCTTCGCACACCGAAGCTCGGCCTGGTTTGATTTTGAAGTTCACGGCGTTGGGTCTAGGGCTCCCTGAAAGCAAATCACGTGTTTCCGTCTCAAGAATATACCATACCACCCTTCGTACAGTTTGTTCGTTGCATAAGAACCTACGATTGCACCAGATTACTTTGCTGTCTTCATGACCGCTGCGATAACCACATAACTGTAAACCCTATAGCCGGGTTCTAAACCCTAGACACTAGACTCTCAACCCTATGCATCGTAAACCCTAAAACCTTAAAGCCCTAAACCCTCAACCCAAAATCCCGAAACTCTAGAACCCAAAATCCCGGATCCCTAACTAAACCCTATAAAACCCTAAACCCTCAACCCCTGAACCCCAAACCCGAAACCCCTAAACCCTACCCCCAAAACCACAGGGGCGAGCTGCGACCTCGAACTGACGAGGGCTGCATGGGCAAGGAAGCCATGAGCTTAGACCTGGGTCGCGTCTTTGTTTTTGTTTTTTTGGGAGGAGGGGGGGGGGAGAGGGGGGGTTAGGTAAGGGATCTATGAGGCTTTAGGGTTTAGGTTTGGGGTTTGCGGTCTAGGTAACGGATCTATGAGGCTTGAGGTTTCAGGGGTTTAGGACTTTAGGTGTACTTTGTCCTTTTTCGAGCTCGTTCTTCCTTCGCCCAATCCGTCCCACTCTCCGGCAGGCCGGACAGCTTGCGGTTTGAGGTTTCGCTTGGGTTTCGGGTTTCGGTTTAGGGTGTAAGGGGTGATATGCAAGTTCTACAATTGCAAGGGTTCTGGCTAATATGTTCTAGAAGGGTTCTACAGGTTCGTGTTAGCGGCATTAATGAACCGAATGTGGTTTTGGGTTACATGCGGCTTATCAGTACTACTGTCATTTCTATGGCGATCGTCAGTTTTGTTATCATTGCTCCTATTCCTATACTATTGGTGCTCTGTCTATACTATTGGTGCTGCTGTGGTACACATGAGGGATACTCTTACCCCGTATTCCGATGTCTAAATCATATACAAGTGCATCCGGAAAGCGACGCGCTATTTCCACAAACCCAAAACTCCCCAAACCCTGAACCCCCAAAAAAAACCAAACCCTAAACATCTGAAACCCTGAACTGAGTCTCCAGTGCTCGAAATCCCGAATCCGTTGTCAAAATCGACAGCTTCAGCGGCTCCTCAGACAAAAATGGACCAACAAGGTGTAAACCCTAAACCCCAAGAAGGAGACAATGGTTCTGAGATATTTGTAAGATATGCGGACTGTACCACATGGATGAAGAGTTTACGGCGCAAGACTTAGAGAGCTTCCGGTTTGCGGACATACACAGGTAGATCAGAGGGAGAGAGAGAGAGAGAGAGAGAGAGAGAGAGAGAGAGAGAGAGAGAGAGAGAGAGAGAGAGAGAGAGAGAGAGAGAGAGAGAGAGAGAGAGAGAGAGCGAGAGAGGACGGAGAGGAGAGGGGCGGACTCCACCCTTTAATCGCAAACGCACCAAAACAGGGTCCTCTAACCCATGGAAATCTATGAACAGAAGATGTCCTGTTGGATCAGGCATGCGGCTGCCCGAGATCGTACAATTCACGCATGTAGCTCGGGCATTGGGCTCGGGCTCGAGCCAACAAAAATGCAGTTTGTCCGGCCGTCTTTCTCTGTCCCCCTGTGCTTTTGTTGTTTGTCTCTGTCTCTCCCCAGACATACATATCTGCACGCGTGTTGGCATGAAAATACAGACACACATACATGCATCCACGCATACATAGACGTACATACATACCTACATATATATCTATATACACAGAACCACATGACTATATCCATATACATGGGCATGTAAGGGGTCTGCAGGATGGCATTGGACTTCCAGACCCAGATCAGGAACATCCTGAATCCAAGAGTAAAAGGAAGGACCCTTAATAAGGACCCCTAAGTTTCTACCCTCAATATAGCTATTATATACCCATTATATAGCCCATTGTAGGGCAGGGGTCCCCACTAAGGGTCCCTCCTTTTCTCCTTTCACTGAAGAATGAATCCTCGACGGGGCTTAGGGTTTAGGGTGCCATCAGCTGGGAGCAAAGCCCAAAAGGGAAGGGCTCTCCAGGAATAAGCCCCAGACTACGAACGATACGCCCCGAAACCCCAAAGCATACACCACACCCCAAAACTCTAAAGCGGAAAAGGCAGATCTGGAAAATTGAAACCCTTTTTGCCTTATCCCCAGCAAACAGCTTACACCTCCACATCCTTGAACCACCGAGATCCTACAACCCCCACAGGTCCCTAATCCCTAAACTTCAAAGGGCCCGAGGATAGAAAACACTTACAAGCCCACTGTATCCGAAGCAATGTTTGAGACATATCTACGGCCGTATAGTTATTACGACTATTGGGTCTCAGGGTTTTTGCCTTGGTAGTATATCAACCCTCCCCGGACCCTGCAAACCTGTGGCGCTTGTGAGAGCAACTTTTGAGGCCACAGCGGCTTGCGAACCCGTCTGTCTGTCCCCTGCAGCCTTCCGCATGGCTAGACGAACCACAGGGATGAACCGAACCCGAAAACTGCCTCTTGAGCCCACCGCCCCCTCCTACTCCTACTAGAATCACGAAAACTGAAGGACCTAACACCCACAAAATGGTGCAATGCCAGCCCTAATTTCTAGACCCTGGCACCCTGATGGCTCAAAAGGCCTAGTTCTAAACCATGTCAACTAACCGTACTAACCGAAGTAAGCCCTGAAGATCACAACCACCGGCTCGCAGGAGACAGCATTTGCCGAGGCAACAAAACTTCCGCAGCTGCAAGCTCCGCTCTGTTCGCTTCCTACTTATAGCTGCGGTCAAAAGCAACTCCGAAGCGACGCACTCACTATAGGGGTCTGAATGAATAGAATTAGCATTCAGCAACTAGCAGCACTATCCCGTTGACGTCCGAATATAGCTATGCCACAAGGATGCTTTCTGAAGATAGCGTTTATGCCAAAACTCTGGTTTAAGATTTCACATCCTGCAAGTTTCACACCAAGTCACCAAGCCTACCTGCTACCCCTTGAGATCGTCAAGCCCAAAATACTCTAAACCCCAAACCCTACACCCTAAACTGCTGCACCCTATAAATCCTTCATCTCCCCTAAACCCTGGAAACGCGACAAACAAAAACAAAAGATCGCCCAAAACTCCCCGAAAGCCGGCGCCGTGCGACCCTGGGCAGCCCCCTCAGCTCTCCACGCTCCCCTCAAGGAGGCCGCTGTCGAAGACCTCCACCTGATACTTCTTCAGGTTTAGGGATAAATTTCAAAGGTTCGGACCCTAAACCCTAAACCCCTAAACCCCTAAACCCTGAACCCTAAACCCTAAACCCTAAACCCCGGGGTTTAGGGATCAGGGGTTGAGAGGTTTAGGCTTTCGTGGTTAAGTACGGGTTGCAGGGCTTTCGTGTTTAGGGGTTCAGGGTTTAGGGGCTCGCGTCATCCGGTGGTTGAGTCTTCGGAGGCGTCTTGCAAATCAGTGTTTTTGCTTTTTTGGGGGTTTTGGGTTTTAGGGTTCAGAACTTCGGGTTTAGGGTTAAGGGCTTGAGATTAAGGGTTTAGCCTCTTTACAGTTGTGGCCGCCCGTGCGGTCATGTTCGCACACGGTGTAAGGAGATTCCAAAGTGCTAAATAAAGGGTATTTCAACGTGAGCCTAACCCCAGCTTATGGGAGGTTCCCAAAATAGGGGACCCTAATATAGTACCCTAAACAGTAAGATTCTTACAAAAAGGACACCAAAATAAGGTACCCCCCCAATTTTGGGAAACTCCCATATGGCTCCGAGAAGAGCTGGAGGGCCCTCTCCGGAAAAATGTTAAAGCCAAATGAACCCTCAAAGCTTCAGGCCTTGCGAAACATATACCCCAAATGATGGTCCCCGCAAGGCCTCTGGACCCTAAGCCCTCAAATCCAGAGCGCGTTTTAACCCCAGAAGCCCCAAACCCGCAACCCTAAACCCTATACACGCTAAAACTCAGGAACTTTGAGCCTAATGCTCGCAGTCGCTAAGAACTGAACATCTGCTAATGGGTTCGTACCAAGACATTCCAGAGTCCATGTGTCTTCCCTGCATGACATGAACACCTGAAGCAAAAGTCCGAGATTAGCCCTAGAAGCCTTACACCAAAGGCTAATAGAGGGGCCTGTCTACTTAGAACAAGCCCTAAGCCCTGAATCCCGAAACAAGCCGCCGGAGTCCGGAGAATTTTTGCGCAAGATACGCCGGCAGTCTATAAGCTGCGCTGCGGACGAATGAATAGAAGTAGTCTACAAAAAAATTAAATGCTATATAGCACCCGATAAAGCCTATGAAAACTGGACCCCCAACTACCCTCGAATATACCCCAATTACCCATGATTCTGGAACATAAGGGCTCTCTTAAAGGGCCCTTAAGAGGGTCCTGGAAACCCTGGAGAAGCCAGCGACTCCAACATCCTTTAATTGAGGAATATACCTTATATAATTATAATACGCTCCCCAATATGATTTGAGGACTATTCCTTAAAGCATATTGGGGAGCCTACTAAAATTCAGAATACTCCTTAAATCATATCAGGGAGCCTACTAAAATTTAGAATATGCCTTTACTCATATTAGGGAGCCTACTACAATTCAGAATCTTACTTTTTTCAGGTATATTGGAGTCTCTGAGAAAACTTGCATTTCTCAGTACTGTACGAGCCGGATTAAGAAACCCTGGGCCTATAACCCCCAAAATAAAAAGATTCATATAAGGAACCCGAATATTGGCCCAAGGTTTCTTAATCAGGTTTCTACATGACCCCTCCGGAGTCACGTTAGGGGGGGGCCCTAATATAGTTCCCTGAATAGGGGATCCTTATTATAAGGGCCCCACAACGAGGAAACTCCCACATTTCTCTGTGTCGAGGGCGGCGCCTTCTTGGAAGGCGCCCCGCTTTGGGAGCCCACCGCTTCGACCTCGTTCGGCCGACCAAAAGGAGGTGGAGTTTAGGGTTCAGGGGTTTAGGGGTTTAGGGGTTTCGGGGTTTCGGGTTTAGGAGTTTAGGGGTTTAGGGGCTTTGGGTTTAGGGGTTTAGGGTTAAGGGGTGTAGAGTACTATTTTGGGGGGCTCCATATTAATGCCTAGCTCTAAGGTTTCTCAAATGTGGCCTGCGTGCAGCTGCTCCTTCTTAAGAAGCGCCCTCAGAACCGGAATATAAAATGATGTCTTGCATCATTCCTTTGATTTTTGTAATTGTATGGGAGCTCCAAGACCACCTAAACAAACACCACCTGTCTGAGGTGGAGGCTCAAGTACGTTCCTTGTGTATCTTTACCGATGCTACTCTTGTCATTGTGCCTTTGGTGCTGCCCTTCGTATGCATAGCCTGTTGGAACTGCGCCCCGAAGCCGTCATATAGGGGCCCTAATAACTAGAATAAAGTTTTGGGGCAGTTATACTCTGTTTATA